AGTAAACCCGCGGACATCCACTCTTTTAAACGTTTATTTTTACAACTTACCAATTTGTTTACAGTTGATATATCAATTGCCTTACTAATTATATTTTGAAATGTATCAAAACACTCATTAGCATTAGTTTTGTTATATATTTCAGACCATTTTTCTGTTTGTAATAAACGTTTAATTTTATTATGATCAATTATAGAAATAGTATTATCTTTAGTTTTTAGGGTATTGATTATTGGTAAAGAAACACAGATAGAAAAGTGGTCACTTATATCAGTCTGCAACACACCAGAGTTAACTAAATTAATTAAGTGCTCATTACTGTTAATAAATATATGATCTAGACAAGAATGATTACGACCATTAGGTAATCTGGTATTAATGTTTATAAATGACGCAAAACCACTCACAGATAATAGATCTAGGTATTCATTATTAATTAAATTATCGCCGACAAAATTTCCTGCCAATTTTTATTTTTATGAAACCTTCAAGAATCGAAGCAGAAGCGTAGCTAGATCATTTCCCAGCAAGTTAAAGTTTTTTTTATCTCAATTACCAAGGAGGTGAATTACGTAATCCGGTCGTTCGCCGTCGTCCGGAGCCACCGCCAACAGCCGCTGCTCCCCGTTCACCTGCGTGTCATCGCATCGTCGCAGCAGATGTTCCAGTCGCCGCCGCCGATACACCGCCCTACCGCGGCACATGTGCTGACCCGTAATCAAATTATTATCATTATGCCCCAGCTGCCCCTGTGGTGACCCGGTGTGTGGGTGGTACGGCTGCCGGTTGGTGTTGCTGGCTGTTGTGGCCGTAACCGCCGCTCTACGTCCGCAGTCCGGTCGTCCCATCCGCGGTGGTAGATTGCCGCTCGCATCGGGTCCAGTAGCTGGCGGCGGGGTGGCATTCGTCACACCTGCGTGGCTGTTGTCGGCATGTTGTCCGGGTTGATCAACCCCAGCTGGTTGATCAGGGCCGCTACCTGCTCCCATCTGTCGTCCCCTTGTCTTGCCATTAGTGCTGGAACTGGATGGGTTTACAGTTTTTTTTTTTTTTTTTGACGGGGAAACAAATTTTTTTTTATTTTTCGTTTTTGGGTGCGCGCTTTAGGCATGACACATGTATTTTCCGCGGCGGTTGTTGGTCGATGCGGAAAACTCCTTTTCCTATCTGTTTTGCCAAGGTCACCGGTCCAAAACATTTTGGTGCGAATCCGGCGTGAAAATCTTTATGTGCCTTTGATAGGTGATGCGCTTTATAGTAGACTACGTTGCCCTTGTCGAACTTCACCGGCGTGCAGGTGTTCATGCTCGGTTTAATCCCTATCTTTCTGCCTAATATACGCTTTTCCCGCTCTACCCTTTCTTCTTGATTTTTGTGGACGTGTGTCGGTGTCGACTTCGAAAGTGTCCAATATCCAGGTCACTTACACTCTCTGACCTGTTACAGTAGTATATATTTGTATGTTTACAGCCAGCTTTTCCAGGGAAAAAAAAAGTTCAAGGGGGGAATGTCCGCTTGGAGCACTCAGATTTACCGTGTAACACAATTTCACACTGATTGTCTACCAAATTCTACCTCGTAAAAATATTTACAGTATTTCATTTCTACTCATGTTGGTTACACTGTTTTTTTATCTAAAATTTGATAAACAAATTTACAATAATTTTTAAAGTTGATTATTTTTTTATTATATTCCGTCATGACAAAATAAATTTTGTTTAAAATTCAGTTACTAACGATTAAGTGCGTGAGCAAGTTGTGTCTCGTTCACTAATTTTATCATCATCTCATCAAATTGTTTTTTTCTAAGTTATTCTTTAATTTTTTTTTTAAGAATGAATTTCCAAAGATGTTCAAACGATGTCCAGTCATTGGTCGACCAAATACGATTCAATTCAACACCAGCGTATCCAGAATTCTCTACACTTGTATCTGGGTTACGAACTTTTAAGTCGTTTCCATCGAACACTGGTCAAAATAAGTACAAATTAGCCGAATGCGGATTTTACTATATTAATCTCGATGATGCCGTTCAATGCCATTGGTGTGGAATAATTCTGCATAGTTTTGAAATCGATGATAATTGTTTCATAGAACCTAACCAAAATGTTTATATGTATTATTAATGAAAGGAAATCAGTTTGTTCAAAAAGTCTTAAGTAAAAATTGTAAAACCGAAGTTATTTGTAATTGTGAAACTGGTTACGACACCATTTGTTAAATCATGTTATATATATATACCTAACCTAACCTTTGCTGTATTGGTTAAAAAAAAAAATAAAAAAAAATTTAATGTTTTATCTTAAATGTGTTATTCGATTTAATATCTCGTGGTCGTATAGCGTGGTCGGTTAGTACGTATAAAATAATTTTAAATGTTTTTCAGGTAACAGGTTAGTTAAGTTTGTATAATTTCCCTTCTAGTATGTACTAATCGAACATCTATACGATCACAATTTTTTTGCATTTTTTTCTATCAGAGTTTTTAGTATATAATATTACTGCAAATGAAAAAAATAGCAGTTCAATGTATAACTCCTAACAGTTAGACCATATGTATATTTTATAAAATGACAACACGAAATTATATCAATTGATAACCATAATTTATCTTTATTATCTATGTAATTATAGAAAAAAAAACCAAGTGTGTCCTTAAAATCATCATTAAAATTTTTAATAAATTGGGATATTGTAATTTCAGACTTTATCATACCAAAACATTCCCATTGATCCCAAGTTGGAATATAATCACCACGAACTTGAGAATACAAAATAGGAAATTTCCAGTTTTTTCGAAAATCAATAAATTCAGATATTGCACCTTGATCCCAATCATGACTGCAATAATACATTGCTCGTATCGGTATTATTTCTTCCATTTCTTCCAATGTAAAAGTATTTTCTTGATTATTGTACTTTATTTGTAATATTTTATTAAATTTATTGAATATTACACATGATTTGCGAAACGATTCCACTTTATTTTGCTCATGTTTGTAAATTTTATGCTTGACTTCATATGGACCAAATTCGTTTTTTACATTATTAGCATCTATCGTTTTTTTTATAGTTTTTGGCAAAGATAATTCATTAATTTGATTTTTATTTTCCATTACTATAATTTATTATAAAAAATTTTATTTTTTAAACTTTGAAAATTTAAATCGAATATAATACTTACGAAGTATTATATATAATATTATAATACCTATACAGTGTGGTATAATAATAATAATAATAATAATAATAATAATAATATTGTATATATATCAACGTTGGACTGATTATTTTTTTAACATCCGGTATTGAATACCTTATCATAATATAAATGTATAGTTTATATTATGATGTTTTTTTTATCGAATTATTTAAATAGTGTTTAAATAATCATTATACATGCCCAAGTGTTGTAGCTCAGTGGTTAAGGCGTTTGATTTAAATGTGTTCTTGGTCGGATTGAAACTAGTGGGGAATGTGTAGCGCTGCATATTCACCTACTAATTTCGTCAGGCTTTGAAGACGTTTACGGTAGATTGTATAGGTGGGTGCACACACCTATGCAATCTACTGAAAAACTGTCGTTGACCTACTGAATAAAGCACTTGGGTAACTTCACTGCCCACGATAGCTTTGCAGATATCTGTAAAAGAGTTCCGGCCTCCTTTTTTCCTAACGGGTATCTGCAAAGCTGGGAATGATTTTGTAAATTTTTTGCATTTTTTTCCATATTTCTATTAAAAATATTAAAAAATAACGCGATCGTATATGTCCTATATTTCATTTAATATTTGATATTATCAAGTCGGATCAACACAGATATGTTTTATATGCTTATCTACACTACATATTAAAAGTTTACCCCCCGCTTCATATTTTTCATTTAAGTATAACTCCGTTGCTTTTTATGTTAGAATCTTCATTTTTACATTAAACATTTTTGATTTTAATTCTTTATAAGTCCCCCTCAAAGTATCATAGCGTAAAATCGTTTTTAAAGATTTTTGGATTTTAATAACGCGACCCCTATTCGGGTGAGCGTTAAATATTGAACATTTTTTTTTAATAGAACAATTCTATTAAAAAATTAAATTAATAATATAATTATATTCTACGTATTGTCATACCAAAAGAACATATTTTAATATCTCCTAAAGTTTTCATTACACTAATATTATAGAGATATTCGAATGAATTTGTACTGTTTGCAATTATTTGATCATTAGCTATTTTACAAAGTTCTAACCAAGTTGGTGATCGTAGACATTTAGAAACATAAACATAAGTTGGATCACAATGGTTCTCGATGATTAAAATTTTTCCTTTAATTGGAATTTCATTAAGATTATATTTTATTATATTTTCATTATTTTTATAATATTCAAAAGCACAAAATTTCACATAACATTTTTTTATTTTTTTATTTAATATATAGTTTTCTACTTCGTTTTGCATTTCGGTTTCTTGTAACTTATTATGATTGTTTATAGATTCCATTCTTTTATTATAAATATCAATTCCTTTAACTAAGGTATTCAATTTCTTTAAAAATATTTTTTAATACACTATATTACATTTCGATTTTAATTATTAATATCATAAGTATTATGAAAAATATTTTGGGTGTATTTAATAAGTTTTGCGAAAAATGTTTTTATTATTATTGCATTTCGATTTTTTTTATTATTATTGCATTTCATAAGTTTTGTGAAAAATGTTTTTATAATTATTGCATTTCATAAGTTTTGTGAAAAATTTTTTTAATTATTATTGCATTTCAATTTTCTGATCTTTTTGCACATTGTTTTCTTTGTGATCTTTTACTGATATATTATTATTAAAGTGCACCTTAAAGGTGCTGCGTCAGGACTGGTATATATATACTACTCATAGGTATTCGAAATAATTTGTTGACAAAAAACTTGATTTTCACTATTGACAACATCACATATGAAACTAAATGGCAACATATAATAGATTTATATCGGAAAGATAGTGAAATGGAGAATTTGAAGATGTTACCTAGGTTAACTGATAACCATGTCATACCTCAAAAAATCTCAAAAATGAAGGTGAAGTGTGCAGCCCAAGTTTTTAGCCAGCGAGTATCTTCACTAATGGCATTCTTAGCTTGTAAGTATAATATTAAAATAAGTTATGATATTTTTTATAGGCATACATATCTTATACGAAGTAATTTATACTAACACGTACTAATTGCTTCCTCGTGTTTCAGCTCAAAAAATAATTGATGTCGATGCTCGAGGTACTGCAAATCTTTGTTTATTTTTTGACCAGTTGTTTGATTCTGTGAATGGTTCTTATAGCAAAATAGTTGATGGTAAAAAATACAGAACAGCAATTACAATGAAATCTAATCATTTTGATCTGTGGGAAAAATCATTACCAGTATTACACTCTATGGTATTTATTGATTCAAAATCTCAAAAACGTCAAAGACCTCCCACTGTGAAAAATTGGGAAAAAACAATTAGAGGTTAGTAGTTCATTTTTATATTTAAATTATTATTATTTGATATATTTTAATTCTAATTTTCCCATCAATAAATTGAAGTTTAATTTGTTCACAGGTTTAAAAGCAATATTTAAATTCCTACATAGTAAGGGCATTAAGTCTGTCTTACCTCAGAACCTAAATCAAGATTCACTTGAAAATTTCTTTGGTTCTTCTCAGTATGGGATGTAGAAACAACAATCCTTCGTGCACTTCATTTTCGTCATCGTATAAGACATTACTTCTAAACAATTTATTATCAACACATTCTCCTGGCAGTAATTGCGAAGACGATCTAGCAACATCTTGTTTGACTTCTTATCAATATTTATTTGATAATTCAACTTCAGAACGAGGCGAAGGTAATGATGGTACTTCTGAAGTTGCCGAAAGTGTTGTTAGTGTAGAGACCATTACCAACAACTTGATAAAACAACCAGAAGATGTTCAAAATTTAACTGTACAAACACATACTTACATCTCAGGTTACATAATTAAAAAACTAAGTAAAACTTTTTTCAAAAACTGCAATTGCTTAACACAATTATGTACTACTCAATTAACAAGTAATCATGATATTATTTCTAACCGCGAGTATTCTAATAACATAATCTCTTTAAAATATCCAAATGAAACCTTCTGTTCCCTTGTACAAAACAAAGTTGAAATAATATCTATAAAATTGCCAATCTTATGTCACACTTCAAATTTAAAATCAAATCTTTTTTCAATAGTTAATCAACAACTAAATTCAAATATACTATCATGTCCTGTCCATGAAGAATTGTTTAGTAAAACTTTTTTAAATTTTATTATTAAATTTTTAATACATAATTGGTGTAACAATATCAATAAAATTCTCAATGGTAAAATATCAATTAATGTCAATGAAAAAGATCCAATTAAAATCAATGCTTATAATCGTTATGTTAAATTTTGTAAATATAAACATTTATAAAATAGAAAATTTTAATCTTTTTTGTAATTAAAATATCAATAATTGTTGTTAAATGTTCCTTAAGAGGATGTCAGCGCACTATTTGTTTTCTCTCTCTAGTGCGTTGACATCCTCTTAATCAAAATTGTTTATGTAAGTCTATGCCTAAGCCTCAAGACTAATTTGTATTATATGTATATAATTTAGAATTATTTGTTCGTATATGATGTGACAATTTATATTTTATAACTAATGGACTGATTTCTATATTTGTATTATATGTATATAATTTAGAATTAATATTTGTTCGTATATGATATGAAAAATTTATATTTTATAACTAATGAACTGATTTTTATATTGGTTAATATTGTAAATAATTTGGAAATATTTGTTCCTATATGATATGACAATTGATATTGTATAACTAATGGATTGATTTTTATATTGATTTATATTGAAAATAATTTAGAAATATTTTGTTATAATTAATTTCTAGATGTCTTTATTAATAAAATTCATTTAATATTATTAGCCTAAAGTAACTTGTTTTGATTATTTATTTTGAAGTGAATAAAATGCGTTAACCTATTTATATTTGAAAAAATATATCTTTTTTCAATTATTAAAACAAATAATTTAATAGTTAGGTAAGGGGCCTGGTCGCGATTTTTCAAATTTTCCGCAATTCTATAAAATTTGAAAATTAAATTTTATATTTTAGTTGCCACCTCAACTATAAGACTTTTCCACTAATCTACTACCCAATACCTATTTAGGGGGGGTTGATAGGGTGTATTATATCAGTCAAAAAACAGTTTACAGGAAAAACTCTCACCCCTCGTGGATTGGTCCGATTTTCGTAATTTTTTTTTTTGTTAGATAGAGGAATATTTTTTACAGGGCGCATTGGACTTCGATTTTTGATTACGTCGCTAAAAACAAAAAATAATACGAAAACTAAAAAGTTGTAAAAATTGATTAAATTCATACTTGTAACATAAGACTTAGAAAAATAATTTTGAAAATCCAAGTCCAATGCGCCCTGTAAGAAGTCTTCCTCTATCTAACAAAAAAAAAATTACGGAAATCGGACCAATCTACGAGGCGTGAGAGTTTTTCCTGTAAGGCATGTTTTTGAGCAAAAAAACAGGTCGCGTGCAGGCCCCTTAACACAATTAAAAGTATATGGATATAATAACTGATAAGAATATAATCGAGATTGATAAGGGCGTATATTCGAAAATAATTCATCCATCCGACACCAAGCGCTGCAGTCACTGTCTCGGAAATTTATCATTGAGTTGCCTTTCTATAAGTTATTATTTTCTATGGCACTGCTGTTGACGACAGCGTAGTCAACTCCAGGGACGAAGTGCCTCGAACACAGTTTAGATGTGTCGTTCACGGGGAAACCTTGATCAACCACAAATGCCACCCACTCAAGACGACGTTGTACGGCACTTGGAAATCTAAGGCGACATATTATTATTATTATTATAATACATTGATAAGTGTATTAACGTGTTGAATGAATTACTTGTGTACGGAAACATCAATGATGTTGTCCACAATTCCGCAAAGCGCACAGCGTTTGACCATTTTGAATAGCCTAAAAGCATCACGAACAGGTTATAGTCTATCTATATTATAATATAATAATATCATAGGTAATAAGTAAATAATAAATATGAAAAACTTGTTGCAATCGAATATAATGATCAGTATCAGTTTGTTATCAGCGGTGATGTGTGAGACTTGTGTTAATTTTAGAATTAAAAGGTGCACACCGGCTTACGTGAAATAGGAGAATAGAAATAGAAATAGAAGAATACGAAAAATGACATATCCAGCAAAATAACGCAAAAAGTACCTAGCGACAAAACACGTGTACCGCGATGGTAACGCTCCGAAACGGCTAACGGACTTACACGTCGACTACATACGGCTAATACGAATGCGGATATAAAAAATGTTGGGTATTCAAAGTACATTTGCGCGGAAAAAACACGAAACGCGCCATGATGGCCAGCGGAAAACGTAGGTGGTGAAAATATCATGTTCTTTCGCGATATGCGCTGCCACGAATACATCTGTAGTTTATCTGGATATTATAATATAGTAGTAGACATAAGAGTTGTACTTACCGGTATGTGGAAAGCGCCCAATGCAGAACAACAAAACTCAAAGGAAAGCACTGAAATATTGAATAATAATACAACGTATCAGGCTTTTCTGAGAGAGTTGATGTGCGTTGCAAGAGCGCCGGTCACGAGATGAAGCGGGTCGACACTCGACACGGGCGCGTTTCGTGTCGCCAAAGTTGTCCATCCAGCGGCACCACTCCACGCACACAGAGCGTCAGTGTTGCGTATAAAACGGTCGTAATAGCGTGTGGTATTGCAGTGTCGCTCATAAATCGTCCACTTTTAATATTACACACACCGGCATACGTAAACACTTACCTATGTGGCTATGTGTTGGGCGTGTACGCACACAATAATAATAATAATAATAAATAACAACCACCTAACCTAACGTAACCCATATTTACCTACGTCATTCGGGTACAACATTGTATTGTAATAGATATTATTATTATGTGTCAAGACATTAGGTATACCACCAAACGCAAACATCGTGACCGTTAAGTTACTCTATTTATTGTCTAGGTACATAATATATTAATAATACTTTATGCATTGTTAGTATACTGGTGTCTTTTGTCAGGTACACATGTAGGATTATTTTATAATACCGGTATACACATAAGACATGAGTCAAAACGCAGTACCTACAGATCAATATGAGAATGCAATTGTAACATTAAATAAACGGTAGAACCTATACGACCTGCATAAACAAAAAATCGCGTAATAAAAATGCTCTCCGACGCATATATTCACGTGCTCTCCGCCACGTCAATCGGAGCCGGTTAACGGAAATAATGGACAGATCAGAAACGCGAAAAAAAATATTCAAAAATTGTCGACTTTCCCGACTGCCGGCGTCGAAACCACGATCCCCGGGTCATCTACACTAACGCCTAAACCTACCTGCCTACCTACTGAGTTGAGAACTGGAGTCGAATATAAATTATATGTATTTAAGCCTGTATATAGCGATACCTACTCGACGGGGGCGCCGCGGGCCGTCCGCTTTCCACGACGCCGCTTCGCGCGCGGCATATAAATTTAGCGGGGAACTCGAATAAGTGGTCAACGGGGAGGTCCGAAGTCAGTAGAGGCGTTAAAACTCGAATTTTGAAAGAAATCTTCACATTTACGTTAAAAATGATAAGACGGAAGTGATAGCGAAACGACGAAAAAAAAAAAACTTCAAGATATTACGGCCGCCGCAAATTATCGATATTCCCAGCGGCCGGGATCAAAACCACGACCCTCGAGTTACTTGTCCTAACGCCTAACCTACCTAGCCACCTACCGAGATGAAATCAGTGTCAAATCTATGACTCTTAAGCCGCGTCGCCGTGCTCGCGAAAGGCGAACGCCGCACAGTGGGAGGAATATGATTTCTAGCCGGCCAAAATTAATAAGGTCAAAAATCAATACATAAATGATAGGTAAATAAATATTACATATATACTAAATTGTATTTCAACAGAATTTATTACTTTATCATTTATTACTATCAAGAAAAACAAAACATCACCAAATAACAATAATATTAGTTCATTTTATAACTTAAGTCAAATACTTATAATTTATTATTTGTTTAAACGTTGAAATTGAATTTGAATAATAATATTACAAACAAAATCGTTTTATTTTTTATAATAAACATTTATGTATGAAATTTAAAAATTAAATTTATCTGGTACTTAATTGGATAACTAAAAAATTAATAAATATAAAAAACATAAATAATTATTCAGAATAACTACTATTTATTTCACTATCACTAGTTTCTATTTCATTCAGTTCTGAGCTTTCGATGTTAAGTAAATGAATGGCTTCTGGAGGTAATTTAGTATGTGATTTGTTAGGTTGTGTTCTTAAACTTGTAATTAATGGATCAGATGACACTAATAAGAAATTAAAAATATCTGTATTTGTATGAAAACGTGATGATTTTCGAGAATGATGTTCTCTGAATCGATTGTAGTTTTTATTACTTGCCTCTTGAGCCTCTTCCGACAACTGCCCAATCGGTACAAGAGCATTTTTTATAATTAATGAGCCATGAATTAAAATTTTGTGTATACTTGGTGGCATTCTGTACCAATTATAATGTTTGACATAAAGTTCTGCAGTATCTTTTGCATAGTTTTCGAATTCATCATAATTTATTTCAGAACCACAAGAAATAACTGTTAAAATAGTTGAGAATCGGTTTAATAAATTTAAATTGATTCCAGTGATTTCAGCAACTTTTTCTGTGTTCCTAAAAAACCGTCTAGCTACATTTCCTGTATTAGACGTACCTCTACCCTGAACAACTTTATCAACTTTAATATCTAATTCATTCCAAAGACGAAATTGTATTTCCTTCTTTTTTTCCTCAATTTTCTTCTTTTGTTCGGAAGTTGTTCGTTTCGTAGTAGGAGCCGATTCTAATTTATACGCAATGTGCAATACTAATTCTAAAAATTTTATCCACGCGTGTAAACTTGACATTCCATACTTAACATTATCTTCATTAACTACAAAACGTTTTATGTTATCCAAATCATTCATGTTAGTTGGGTTACATTTACAAATATAACAAAGTTGACTCGAAGTTTCGGTCAATGTATTTATAACCTTTCCATCAACCATTGTCATAAGCATTGTGTAGTTAATACATAAAACACTATTGTTAATATTTAACTCGACAGATTTTAATTCCATAATTTCTTTCTCTACTCTTCCGACTTCAGTATTTGTAACTTCTTTAGTTTCTTTTGCATGTACAATTTTTAAAGGTCTACAGTATCGGGTAGAAGAGGGTGTCGGATTTTCCCACAAAATAACTCGAGTGTTCGAAACCTTAATAACTCCTGTAAGACGCAATGGCACAATACAGAATAAAACAATGCTACTGTCAGTTATAGCATTTTGTCTGCACTCGGTATCATCAGTTTCTATATCATGAAAACTTTGGTGGTATTCGCTGTGACCCGAACTACCATCGCACCCCCACTTACATATAAATTTGAGCTCGGAATACTCTTCCGCATAATCAATTGTATCATCAAAATCTAATGTTTCCCATAACCGTTTAATTGTATGGTCCAACAAATTTTGAAGTGGAACTGACGCACTTATTTCACTTATAATTATACTTTCAGGGTAACATCTATATTTAGCTAATCGAACTCTATCATACGAAGGGTATATGTCAGCTCCGTGTTTTTTAGCACCTAATCTAGTTTTGTGATACGCATTTTTAGTCATGTGAGTATCGATGATAAATGCTACAGCCTCATCATCTGTGTAAGAAGTATATTTATTTTTCGCTTCATTTTTATACAATTTTCTAATCTTTATTGCACGTTGGGGAGAATACTCTGTTGCCTGGGAAACAAGATCGGCTGCAGCACGTTTCCCTTCAACATACAATGTCGATTTTGCTGCACAGATTAATTCATCTGATGAAGTTATTTCTCTTAGGTTTTTTATTTGCCTGCGCTTAGAACGATCACTTGACTCTAAAAAAGATTTACGTGGCCTACCAGAACTTGTGGAAGGTTCATACAATTCTTCACATTTTTTCAATAATGGAATTTTAAATTCTAAATCCAACCAATTATCATTTTTTTTTAAAAATTTAGTCAAACACCGATTTGAATCTAACCATTTCTTCTTTAACGTACTACTAAATCCTTCAACTTTATTTTGAATACATTTATCAAATTCCTCATTGCCTTCTAAATTCGATTTTTCTCCCAGCCTATGAGTTATGTAAGCAATCATTGCATTTCGTGATTCATAAGTACTTGATGTTAAAGTAAAACTATTATTTTTTAAAACTTCAAATAAACAGCGATTTTTTACGATGCTACTTTCATCTAGAAAAATAAATTTATTTCAATAAGGGGCAAATTGGGGCAACTTATAAATGAAATAATTCAAAGTGTACATATATATGCTTAAACTAAAACAAAATTCAAACCTCTAAGAGCCTCTAAAAAAAATGTCTACACAATAAAAATTAAATAAAGTGGAATTTCTTTAGATTCATGATATCTATGAATTTTTATTACGACATATTACTTAATAAATAGTACTTAGAACAAATGTAACTTACTCATGTCTGTTGGTTGATCCATTTTTGATTTAGCAAAAAACAATTACATTTATACTCATGAAATAACGACAACGGACAAACTAAAATGAAAGCTATGTACGAATAACAAGTGATTGCGCTGAATGCAATAATCTTAAGTACATTACCTACTCCTATCAGCTCATTAATTAACAATTATTACATAATGTGATATATTTACCATCGTCATATCAGTGGGTGCAAATATTTTTAGTATTAATCGTTAATTATAATACCTAAATTTTCTATTTTTGGCCAGCTAGAACTCGTATTCCTCCCACTGTGCGCCGTTTGGACGACCGGCAAAGGGCGTTTGAGCGGACGACCGGCTCCGCCGTCCTCGGACGTATAATACGCGAGCTTATGGTCTGGGCGTTGATTCTTGATAATGTACACTTTCCTTTATACAGGGTGATTGTAAGCGTAAAACACTCATTATCTCAAAAAGTATTCACTTTTTTCAAAAATTTTTTTCTTCAAAATTTTAGATCTACGCTGTTCTAGAATTATATAATTTTTTAATATTATTTAATAATTAATAATTATGTTATATTTGAAATTATTAAATACAAAACCTATTAGTTAAATGTGAATTAGAGTTGTATTGTAATATTATTGTAGGTGGCGTAGGTCTATTTAAATACCAATGTGGCAACATTCCAAAATTGAAAATGTAACAGGTAGTTACAGATGTTACAACTTACATCACAGAATGAAAATAGAAATAATCCTGGTTAAAGCGTTACAAATTTAATTTAATTTGTCATAAGTTACAGACTTACATGGTACATTACCTAGTTCTTATAGTACCTAGTACCTACAATTTACAATCATTTGGATTTAAAAATATTCGTGATATTTTATAGTAAGCACTATATAAGCCCCCGAGTCTCACAGTAGCCACTTTATTTAATGTATAATAGTATAATACTATTTATTAATATAATATATTTTATAATATTAAATTGATTTATAGTACATATAATTGATATACCGATGTGACGATGTCCGATACGAGTGGTAACTGAGTCTTGCCCGAAAATTATAAGAGTGGTTATACGGCGGTTATCTCAGCACAGCTAGTAAGTTCTCACCTAACACGTTCTACTTTTTTCAAGTTGATGTCACTGATGGATCACTGGTATAAATCTTGGTATAAAACTATAAACATCCTTGTCATTTACGGACGACTGTAGATAATAAAATCTATGAGTATATTTATACTTCCGAATAATCAATTTAATATTTTCATATCACACTCACATTCAGTCACAAACAACAGCTGACCACAGTATCATAAAACATGTACTGCGTATTCCAATATCCAGTAATGCAAAATGCAAAGACTAACAATTATACATTTATACATCTGTGAATTTTGATAGTCTGATAACTGGTAATGATAAATGAAAAAAATATTATAAAAGTTATAACTTATAAATATAACACTTATAACAGTTATAAGTGTTATAACATACCTTTAGTTATCAATTATCATAGTTACTAATGTAGTGCGTAGTAATATATGACTTTCATTGGTTTTTAGTTTTTACAATTTTACTTTTTACTTTTTTCAAATAGTTAATTTGTATTTTAATATTGTATAATCATCATGAATACTGACCGAAGAAAGGACGATGTATGGAAATATTTTATTGAAGTCCCTCAAACCAAAAATACTATGAAAAGTAAAAGATCAGTATGTAAAAAATGCAAAATGGAAATGAATGCATTAGTAGCACGGATGAAGACTCATTATTGTGAAACGTGCTGTGGTCTAAACCTTAGTGAAAATGATTTAAATTCAATTGATCAATCGATAGATTTACCAGGTAATTTATCATTTTAATAGAAAACATATCTAGCTATCAAAAACTTAATTAAATAACCTCCGAAATTATAATACAAGTGTGAACCAATATTAAATATTAATCTATCTATTTTATATTTGTATTAACTAGAAAGTTCACTTGAAGATACTGTAGAAGTTATCCAGCCATTACAAAAGCAACAATTCCTAGCAAATAGAAGTATGACAAGTTCAAGTTCGTCAATCAATAAGTTTGTGGTGCGTACATCAGAGGCCCACAGAAGGAAACTGGATATGCAAGTAGCTAAATTTATTTTTGGTACTAACACGTTATTTCGGGCAGTTGAACATGCTGAATTTTTAAAATTGATTACGATGCTACGACCTGGCTATACACCTCCAAATAGACGTAAGGTATCAGATGAACTATTAAACAATGTGTTTGATTCATTTACACTGGAAACTCAAATGCAATTGAATGGTAAAACCGTATGCATGGCCTTAGACGGCTGGTCTAATATACGCAATGAGTCGATTGTTTGCGTGTGTGTTACAGATATGATTAATAATGTGGTCTATCTAATAGAAACTATTGATACCAAGGATAACAGTCATACAAGTGATTACTTATTATGTTTAACAGAAACACCAATTGAAAAATGTGAAAGTTTTGGTTGTATTATTGGTAGCGTAGTAACAGATAATGCAGCAAACATGAAAAAAATGAGACAAGAGTTAGCTACATGTGAGAATATATCATGTGACAATATATTGTGACCTATGGATGCTCAGCTCATATACTAAATCTATTAGCACATGAAATAGAAATACCCGGCTTGAAAAGCCATATCAAACAAATATTTAAATACTTCAGAAATTCCCATTTCTTTTCTGCATGATATAAAATGGAAGGAGGGAAAGCGTTGGTACTTCCTCATGATGTAAGGTGGAATACATTTGCAGATACAATACAGTGTTACCTTGATAATTGACATATACTATTTAAACTTTGTGATGAAAATTGAACAGCAGTAGATAAAACCATTTTTTCAAAAGTGAATGATGTCAATGTCAAGCATAATTCTAGTATTTATTTAATAAAATTAAAAAAAATTGCTATTTCATTGGATCAAGTTCGGAAAGATAACTGTACCACTGGGGAAGCATGTTATATTTGGTTAACACTAAAAGCATTTTTTGAAACTGAAGCATACGATATGGAAGTATTAGAAGCGTTTAATCATGGCTTTGACATGGCATTAACAGAATATCATTATATTGCAAATATTTTAGATCATCGATTTATTGGATCAAAACTTGGTCAAGAACAAACTGACTCTGCAATGGATTATATTCATCACTATCATCCAAATATTATGTCAGAGGTAATCACATACCAGGCACAAGGATTTCCATTCAAAGATTATTTGTTTTAAGAGAATACTAAGAAACAAGTAACACCACTAACTTGGTGGTTATCGCTAGAAAAAAATGTGTCTAAGGAAATGCTAACCATAGCTAAAAGACTACATTCAACCGTTGCCTCATCTGCAGGAATTGAAAGAATTTTTTCATCATTTGGAATTGTCCACACAACTTTAAGAAATAGACTAGGTGTGGAAAAATCCTCAAAATTAGTTTCTGTTTTTAAATCCTTAAACCCGAAACAATAATTTATTGCCATTTTATTATTTTAATTTTCAAATGCAAATGTTTTTACTTTTGACTTACAATAATACAATATTAGCTATTACTTATTAGTTTATTCCAATATTACATAATACTGTCGAGGAATGTTATACTTTAAAGTTAAAAGTATAAGTATTAAATTGTTTGATTCAAATATATTGAACTTTTTATTTTAAAAATGTTACAACTTAGAACTGAATAACTGATGTTTTTTTTTTCTATTGTTAATTTTTATAAATTTTTATAGTAAGATACTATGATCAGAGAAAATCCAAAAGCCTATTTTGTTTTATGAGATTATTATTATTATGTTATTACTTATTAGTTTATTCCAATATTACATAATAGTATAATACTGTTGAGGAATGTTATACTTTAAAGTTAAAAGTATGAGTATTAAATTGTTTGATTCCAATATATTAAACTTGTTATTTTAAAAATGTTACAACTTAGAACTGAATACAGAATAACTGATGTTTTTTTTTCTATTGTTATAGATGATAACATTAATTTTATAAATTTTTCTTTATAAATTTTCTTTATAAATCTTTATAAATCTTTATAAATTTTTATTTAAAAATAAAATGTTTTAATTTTTAAATTTTAATGTTTTAATTTTTTTTTGCTGTTTAAAACAATAATCAATTTGTTTTTTTTCTTAGTTTAAATCATGTTTTAAACTTAATGTTTCAAACATGCCAACCCTGTCCGCAAGGCACAAGGGCATGTGTCCTTGGAGCCAGTGGCGTATTTACGGCGGGGGTCCCCGGGTCTCGACCCCCCCCCAGAAAAAATATAATATAATATAATTATTACATCATAACTCGTATGTGTTTTTTTTTATATTATAAACTTGTAGGTACCTAATATTTAGACCCCCCCCCACAAAAAATTTGAAAATACGCCACTGCTTGGAGCCACTCTGCACACCGTACAAATGTTTTCTTCGTCTTCATTTGGAGGATGGAGTACATGCAGATTTTCAGGCACTTGTACAAATGTAACTTCATCCTCTTCAGAGTCATCCATATTCAATTGTTGCCAAATGCCCATTTCCTTATCTTCAGGGATGATGAAGCCCCTTTCATCATAAACTAGTAATGAATGATTACTCATAATAATAATTATTTAATTAATAGTAATTGCAAAATTAAAAACATTTTTTTTCATACATGTGTCTATTTTTTATTGGCAGCTACTTAATAAATCTCTTTTGAACATTTTACTTTTTGGAATTTTGTGTTTTATATTGTGGTATTGCTTTATGACCAAAAATATATTATACACATTTAAACAATCAAATTAAAATAAAAAAATATAAATAATAATGAATAAAAAATATTATTTTGAGTCTATTTTATAGATATTACCTTCAACAATATTGATTTCTGATTCCTGAATAATTTGATCAACTGGAATGACATTATTTCCTGCAATGTTGGGCTCAATGACCTTTACAGCATCTTCAATGGCTGGGTTATCTTCTACAGCATGGATGGCATTTTGTCGTGGATACATAATTGGTACTTCTTCATCAGAGCCTAATAATACAGGGTGATTCTTTTATCAAACAACACTCATTATTTGAAATAGTATTGACTTTTTTCAAAATTGTAGATTTATGCTGTTCTAGAATTGTATATTTTTTTATATTTTTCACCCTTATATTTAATAGGTAAACCACTATCAACTTTTGATTTTCAAATGGTAACCTATACTAAAACTTTCATAATTGAATAAAACTATTTTTTCATTAATTATTACGTTCAAATTTTCATTTTTCGTTAATCCGTTGATGAGATATTGCTCCTCAAAGTTAGGTGGTTTTTGGAGATAGTTATAGTGTGTAAATGTGTTATACCTCGTCAGTAGATACCGCACCTATCAGGATTTTTATGTCCCGGGGCAAAAGATATCACACTTTTCAAATCAACTCAAATTGTGGGTACAGTAAGCTTAAGTTGTGCCCCTAAATGTATTTTATAATACCCATTTGACTGGGTGTCATGTAGTTCGCCCCACTGAATGTGATCTCGCCACTGGTCATAATAATACTTATCTAATATAAATACCAGAAGTTAAAAGTAATAAATTTGATATCATTCGAACCCAAGATATATGTATACAATACTACAATAGTGATAACTGATATTCATTGTACCTACTCGCTACAATTAACTTATAGACATAACCGCTTATATATTTTATGTTTTACAGTTGTATTACGGAAAGAATGAGGAAAATTATTTCAAACCGTCAACCATCAGAATCAATAAAATTAATTGAAATTGAAAGATTTAAAAAAAAAATGCTCTAAAACATTTTTGATTAAGAATATATATTCCATACTATACAAGTTGAATAAAAACTTTTTTATTAAATAATTGTTAAAGAAAAAATAAATACTATACTAAAATTATAGGATAAAAAAATACAGAAGTATTATTTATTTTCATTGATTAATTTTTTCCGCTAGATGGTGCTTTTTATATCGATTGTGGATACATTAGGTTAACCAAATAGACTATTGAGGATTAGGGGATCATGTGAAATAATTAATTCGACTTAAAAAAACTTAATTTTTTTATTTTATTTTTAAAAAAAATTAACAAAATATTATACATAAAAATTATTTTAAAATATCTGACGATGTTATCCATGAATTTTGACTTGAATCAAAACCTAACCATTTAACAAGCATTTTATTCCCAACTTTTTTTACAATACGTTCAATGAGAAAGGTGTTTGGAAAATCAGTTAATTTAATTTCCTGTTCATAAAAACCACCTAAGATTATATTGTCTGATTCATCCTTTAGTTGATAAGTTACTGGATTTGTCTGTAAAACTTTTGAAACTGTAAATATTTCCGTTGTCCAATTTGGTGTATATCCTTTACTAAATATATGTTTATACTTAGATATTCTTACTTTGTCATTAACTTTAAATTTCGGATTATATAATGTATCATTTATTTGTGTATTAAATTTATTATTGTTTGTATCCATTCGAGCTTCATTCGGTGTACATTTGATTGTTCTATGTTTTGTATTATTATAATTTTGTGTAATTTTTGATAGTGTATTATACCAATTCCATGTACCAGTAGCAGTAAAATGTCTATATATATTATTCTTAATAGATCTGATCACGCGTTCCGCGATTGAGCATTTAATAACACTGTATGAACTGAAATGTTTAATTTTATATTTTTTCATTAAATCTTGAAATTGAGCATTGTAAAATGCTGTACCATTATCTGTCTGTAATAATTTCGGATGAGCTTTTTTCAATATATTAAACATACCTTTTGTACATTCTTTCGATGTTTTATTTTTCAACGCCTCAAGCCATACGTACTTACTATATGTATCTATAACAACTAAAATAAACTTGAAACCATAATTTTGTCTAGAATGAGATTGCATGTCCATTAAATCAGCTTGCCAGAGGTCATCAATAAACCGCGTTACTACACTACGTCTAGGAAATATTTTTCTCACTGGCCGATGTAACTCATTAGCTATACTCTCTAAGGTAGTCATTATACTATAATATTTCTCTCACGTAGTTCTTTTAAAATAGATATTATTTCATTATTCACACCAGTATTACCAACACTTTGTGATGATGTCAAAAGATTTAATCTAGTTACTAGCTCATTCGGATCGTCATAATAAACTAATTGGGTTTGAGGTAAGACATCTTTATATAAACCAGAACCTTTCATAGTCTTTGGTGATGTAAAATTAAACATCTTTTCAACTACGGGATTTGTAGACATGGAACTGTTTGCTTCTGGATTAAAATCAAATGGTTCAAATTCTTGTGCTATTTTTCTGCGTTTAGCACTTAAACTAGATAAATGATTGTTAAATGATTTTAAATTAATTCGGGGAGTTGTATTCTCATTAATTTTACTTATTTCTTCGTTAAACTGTTTTTCCTCCATTTTCATTCGATCATACAGTGGTTTTACAACAGTCACCCATTTATGGTACCTCGAGGTTCTAGGTTTTCCATCTGCTTTTAAATGGACTCCACTAGTTTTCAAAATATTGTAATAAGATTCTATATCTGCTATAGTTGTATTTTTTGGTTCCTTCTCACATAATAAAGACCATAGTCCTGGTGTAAATTGGTAGTATTTATTAAGCAACAGTAATTTACCGTGACTAAAAGTAACAGAATGTTTTCCTATTTTATATGAATCACTATCTTTATCATAATACATACCATAAGATTTATCATAACGTGTTGATTTAGGACGGTTATTTAAAAAATTTTCATATGATGAATTTAATTCATCATCATTATCTTCTTCACTAATGCACGGGGTTTCTGCTTTATTTTCTAGTTCAGTTGACCGTGTGTTACATATTACATTTTGTTTCACATGTGAACTCAATGGTTCAATTATCGGCTTAAATGCCTCACGGAAATAGTTTTCAGAATCTATAACACCACGTTTCATTTCCATTATTGTTCGTTGTATATTTTTTTTTGATGTTATTAAATTTTCCAACAAGACTTTTTCTTGGTTCATTGTAAATAATAAATGCAATATACCTGTATCGTATGACTACTGATTACACTATGCAGATAATAACTGTGTGACGGTATATTTATATAAACACATAAAATTATTTTATTTTAATGAATGTATGAAAACCGCATCTATACCTTCCTTCAATCATTTCTCGAGTTTTATCGATAACCATAAACCCATAATAGCTATGATTCCAGCATAAATGAGAAATTTTCCGAAATTCTGAGAAATCCATATCTGCAGACGAATGATCGTTGAATATATGTCGTAAATTTGTATCATCTTGTTTCAGTATTATTAAAAAGTTTGCGTTATCTCTTACAAGCTGTTTTGATATTTTAGAATATGTCTGTGCTAAATAAAATACGGAGCTGGCACCTGAATGCCTACCAATGCTAAAGTATTCTCTGATTACAGATTGTGGGCCGCATATCACATCATCAAAAACTATAATAGAATTTTTCTTCGTTAAGTTTGGTTTTATAACCTTATCAGCGCTTGTAAATATGAAAAAATTAGCACCTTTTATATCATCTATTATTTTTTTCAATAAAACATATTTTTCCTGATTAGAGGTTTTCGAGTATAAATAAATATTTTCAAATCTTAACCCGTTTGCATGTGTGATCAGATTGTACATTATATTTGTTTTTCCTGAGCCACTGGGACCAACTAGTATAGCACGTATAGTATCGGGTAATAACGAACCATGTCGTGAAGGTTTTTTTACTACCTGAACATCTACATTTGTAACATCCAATTTATCTTTCTGTTCTATCAAATCCATATTATTTTCTTATAAATACTCTAGAATTTTCCAATTTATAGTCAGTTATAGATGGCGTGTTCAACTCGTAAGTACAATTCAAACAAGACTGGTAAAGGATTTGTAAACTCCCTTATAAATAGTCTCCCGTTCGAAGCCCATGTTTCAGGATATCAGTATTGTGGTCCTGGCACGAAATTAAAAAAGAGACTAGATCGTGGTGATAAAGGAATAAACCCATTGGATGCTGCTTGTCGTGATCACGATATTGTGTATGCAGCGAGTAAAAATTTAGACGATGGACATAAAGCTGATAAAGTGTTAGAAAATCGTGCTTGGGAAAGATTTAAAGCAAAAGATACACCTAGAAAAGAGAAATTAGTTGCGTACGCAGTAACAAACGCAATGAAAGCTAAAAGAAAAATAGGTATGGGTTGTAAACGGAAAAGTGCTATAAAAACAAATGGTATACTAGCAGCGAAGAAAAAAAGAATCTTAAAGAAAAAGAATGGTGGTAAAAGACTGATTTTAGCACCGAGGCAGTCAGGAGGTGTAATTCCCTTAATACCTATATTTGCGGGATTGTCAGCACTTGGTAGTTTGATGTCTGGAGGTGCTAGTGTGTATAATGCGGTTCAAAATTCAAAATTCAAAAAAGGTAACGGTTTGAAATCAAACAAGAATAGGTTAAGAAAAAAAAACTGGTGATCACGCTACTTGACAGACCGCTTTCGTCTCAAGATATTATAAAATATACTGGAAAGTTGAAAATCAATCATTTCCGTGGAGTCTTTTCACGTGATAACTTACCTAAAAAACCGCACGCTATTGAATGTGGTAAATTAAACTTGGATATATCTTCAGGCGATGGAAGCCATTGGGTAGCGTTTTATAAAAATAAGGACAAAGTTGTATATTTTGATAGCTTTGGTGATTTACCCCCACCAATTGAATTACAACATTATTTCAGACAGTTCAAAATAGTATATAACTATTACAACTATCAAGACTTCAATACATTTAACTGTGGTCATTTATGTCTTGAATTTTTACAATGCATGAATCTATTACATTAAGTTTGACTGGAAATTCAACTGTATTATCTGTAAATTATTTTCCGCCTATAAACCTTTACGATGACTCAGAAATAGCTTTGTTATGTTTACAGTTAATTCATTCCCAAATATTAATGAAAATAATAATA